CCCCCCCGGTCCGCCTTCAGGTACATGCTCTCCCTCCTCTGTGAGGGCAGATCTGCGCATCCCCCCCTCCAATAGCTAGCAATCCAAAACAGTCTTTTGGAGCCTGAGCAGTAGGTGTTGCCTTCTGACACACTTCCGGTGATGTCAGGGGGTGTGGCATATGCAAATAAAGTTATGCTAATGAGTTACTCTAATGAGCTCCTGCATCTCTTTTTCTACAAAGTGTCCCCTGCACCCACCTATCAACCCAAATAATATGCCAGGGAACCCCCCACAGCCAGCTGATTTGTTAGACGTGTGACTGTGTTTTAGTGTTTATTAATTTTGAATTGTTTAAAGTTAATTGTATTTATTGTATGTTTTATGATATTACCCACCCTGAGCCCGCTCGCGGGATGGGCGGGCTATAAATACAAATAATAAATAAATAAATCTGGAGCCATGCAGTGTCTTACACTGCTTGCTCCCCATTTTGAGATCACAGCAGTTATATTCTGCTCAGGATTTGAACTGCTCCTCTCAATTGGGAGGAAAAGAATAGAGGGAGCGTTGGTCGTAAGACAACCTCTGTAAATCCCGTCTTCCAGATCAGCTAAGCTATCCGTGGATTTCTGGATCTGGATTTCTGGATCCGGCCTGGGTCTCTGGCATCCCCTGTGGTGATCCTCAGTTGCCGTCTATCTCTGCCTCTCTCCTCTTGAGAAAGCCTCCTCATCCATCCCATCCTTGGTTTCAATTCTGTCAATTCTCTAGGCTGGAGAGGTGCTGGTGGAGGAGAGCGGAGGCTGCTGGGAGAATCGGTGATAGCCTTCTGCCAGAAGGGCCCCAAAAACCTGGCATCAGAGCTGCTTTCCCACACAATTGCAAAAGATGCTTCCATTCTTGTTTTAGGGGTTCCGGGAAGACAGGGACATTCTTGTTTTAGGGGTTCCGGAAAGACAGGGACAAGAGACTGCACTCCCGTTTTATGGGATTGATTCGGATTTTGATATAAACCCTGGCGTTTGATAGCACTGGTTTATTTTATTTGTGTCCGGCTTGTTTTCGTCTCCCCGTCCAGTCGCCTCCCCATTGGCTCACGGTTTTATAAGTTGTAATCCTGTTTCTAAGAGTTTAACGGCTGTGGTTCTGTTGTGCTGCAACGTTTTGAAATTGTTTGGAGATGGAGCGGATTTTACTGTCGGATGTTATATCGGTCGTTTGCTGTCCATGAGTTTTGATGGCTGAGGAGTGGGTCTGTAAATCTGAAAAAATAAATGTTCTGTGGCTGTATGTCTGTATATAAAAACACAATATCTATTTCACTTGCTTGATTCCCCCCCCCAGCCCAGGCCATGTGACTCAGAATAGATAACAGCAAGAGCCCCCACTGGCCCCAGAGAAAGGACTGTCTCTCTCCCCCCCATTTGAAGAACACACACACAGGAGGGAAGGAACTCACCAATCCCGAATGGAATTGAGGAGGGAAAAACCTTTATTTTGTGGTAGACCAAGATGGGTAGTCGTGATAGTCTGTCTATTGCCATGGAAAAGAGCAAGAGTCCAGTGTACACACAGGAGGGAAGGAACTCACCAATCTTGAATGGAATTGAGGAGGGAAAAACCTTTCTTTTGTGGTAGACCAAGGTCGCGAAGAGTCGGACACGACTGTGCGACTGAACAACAAAAAAAGATGGGTAGTCGTGATAGTCTGTCTGTTGCCATGGAAAAGAGCAAGAGTCCAGTGGCACCTTGAAGACAAACAAAATTTGTGGCAGGGCAGGAGATTCTGTGAGTCACAGCTAAGCGAGCAGTGACTCACAGAAGCTCACACCCTGCCATTTCCCCGTCTTTAAGGTGCTACTGGATTCTTGCTCTTTGCTACTGTCATGACCCCAGCGGGTTGCCACCTTCAGCTGCCACCACTCTGGACTTCGGGTCCCTTGAGAAGGCCCAGAGTACCCTCCCAAGCCCATCCAAAATGCCCCCTTTTAAGCCTAGGACATAAATGTGATGACCAGGCAGGGAACACTGAAACAAATGGTTTATTAAAACAGTACTGGGGCAAGGAAAACAAGATAAGGAGCTTTAAAATATATAATGGTGTTTAAAGGCAAAATAAACAACTCTAACGTGACTACCTATTTCACTTAACTACTTACTATTTCAAGGCCCACAGCCTTCTTATACCAGGCCTCCTGCCTGTACTCACTGGGTACGTTCAGACGCGCCGTTTCAGCCGGCATAAACTGTACCGGTTGGAACCGGTGCAGTTTATGCTGGCTGAAACGCGATCACACTCACCTCCTGTCTGCGGACCTTTAAAGTTTAAAGAGCAAACTAGCCTCCCTGAGGTCCCGGACTCCTCTAAAACCTTAAACTAAGGACCTTTTCTCTTTTTTTAAAAACAAACACCAGGGCGAAGCTTCGCCCAAGCGCATATCGCCGACCTTTAAAAAAAATGGCCGGCGAAAATCGGAAGCCTCAGGCTTCCGAACGGAAGTGGCTCTGCAACGGTGGAGTGTGATCAGACGGGGGTTAAGCGATTACAACCGTTGTACTCAGGATACCACCACTTGGGGACCTAGTGGCAGAGTACAACGGTTTAAAGGGCTTTGCAATGGTTAGGGATGGAAGGCAGATGTTCTACGTGTGAACGCCGGTAAGTACACCGATTGCAACCAGCACCTATACTGTTGCAAACGCTGCGTCTGAACGCACCCATTGTGTCCCAAGTGAGGGATCTTTCTCTCAGACCAGACTGTCCCCTCAGTTTTACTCTGTGTGAGGCAATACCGCAGAAGAGAAAAGAACATGGTTTCCTGGCCCACAAAGCTTAAGTTCCATTCCCTCACACAACCCCTGAACACTGATTGGCTACAACTCTTGCTAAGCATTGTGGGGGTTGTAGGCTGTCTGCTTTCCACTCCCACACAGGCCTCTAGGCCTTTCTCCCAGGCCTACTCAGATCACGACAGCTACCTTCTAGAAGAAGAAGAGAAGAAGAGATTGGATTTATATCCCGCCCTTCACTACCCAAAGGAGTCTCAGAGCGGCTTACAGACTCCTTTCCCTTCCCCCTCCCCACAACAGACACCCTGTGAGGCAGGTGGGGCTGAGAGAGCTCTTTCAAGAACTGCTCTTGAGAGAGCAGCTCTGAGAGAACTGTGGCTTGCCCAAGGTCATCCAGGAGGTGCAAGTGGAGGAGTGGGGAATCAAACACTTAACCACAACACCAAACTGGCTCTCTACATTTTCTAATGTGGGGCAGCAGTGGCTAGAACGCTGGACTTGGAGGTGGGAGGCCCAGGTTCAACTCCCTGTTCTGCCCTGGAAGCTTGCTGGTTGCTCTTGGGTCAGTCATGCCCACTCAGCCTAAGCTCCTTCAATCACATGACCCGAGGAAGGGGCAAACAGGGTTTCCCTGTAGCCATTTTGGCTGTCAAAAACAGCCCGGGAGGGAAGCCCGAAGACTAGTTTTGGCAGCCTCCAATTGGGGAGCCTGAAGATCTCCCAGAACTAAACTGATCTGCAGATGTCAGAGCTCCAGAGGAGAGAGGACTCTATGGCATTATACCCCACTAAGACCCCTCCCCTCCCCAAACTCCACCTTCCCCAGGGTCCACCTCCAAAATCTCCGGAAATCCCCCAGCCTGGAGTTGACGATCCTAACTGGAAAACACCGCAAATGGTCTCTTGCTGCTGCTTTTAAGTCAAAGAAAGGGTTAAAGTGGGCAATTTTGGGTTCCTAGAGAGGCTTCTAGCTGCTTCTGAATTCCTGGGATTATAGAAAGAATTGTGTGTGGTGGTAAGGGTTTAAGATTTGGGGTTTCCGACTGATCTGGAAGTGTTAGGGGGAGTGGAGGGTAGGTCAGCTGCTTCCCCATGTACCAGACCAACACGCAGGTAAGAATTAATCTGGACAGCTACTGGAAGTCAGTCCGAACTCATCATGCCCTTATGATCCCACCAGGTACTATTCAGATATCGGCAAGATGCCAGCGATCAGTGACCAGGATATGAACGCCTACCTGGCCGAGCAATCTCGCATGCACATGAATGAATTCAACACCATGAGCGCGCTCTCTGAAATCTACTCCTACGTGGGCAAGTACAGTGAAGAGGTGAGTCTGGATGGAGTGAAGGGCTAGCCTGATTGAGAGAGGGATACCTTGTCTGTGGCAGAGGAGAAGGGGGGAATGGATTCAACCGGAAATGTATTGAGGATATCTCAAAGGTCTAGCTACAGCAGATAGAATTTGTATCAAAAGAAATATATTTATTGCATAGTGTACACAATAATGTAATTAAAAACATAGGGCCTGAATAGGGACTCATGGCTTGCTTTATAAGCTAATAGGGATGGGCATGAACCTCGTCATGAGCCTAATTTCGTGATGGACATTGCCAGTTTGTGGTTCATGAGCTGAGGGTCATGCGATCGTGCCAGCGATGAACCTCTGCCCAGTTTGTGGTTCATGAGCCAAGGGTCGTGCGATCGTGCCAGCAATGAACCTCCATGTTTTTCAAGAAGGTTTGTGCGGTTCATGCACAAGTGAAGTCCAAGTAGTAAGTTCAGCCATCTCCAAACCAGGAACCTTCACGAGCTTTCCGGTTTGCCGAACCAGTTCGTTTCACGTCAGTGGATCGTGCGTGAGTGAAATCCAAGCAGCAAGTTCATCTTGAAGTGGGTGAACTCGCTACTTGGACTTCACTTGCATACGAACTGCCAACATGAAGCAAACTGGTTTGGCAAATGGGAAGTTCATGGTTCGTGCAACCCCACGAACCACAAACCGAAATGAACTTTGATTTCCCTGGTTCATGCCCATCCCTACACGCTAACATCAAACCACACAATATATGCGACAACATCACTTGGTCAGGGTTGATATATATCACGTATTTGTCTGGATATGTTCCTAAAAATTATGTTATGTACTATTGACCACTGAAGAAAGCCTTTGAGGATGGAGGGATTTATAATAGCCTATGTAAAACTGAGTTTTGATTACTTTTAACGCAGCCTGATATTCAGGCCCCATGTTTTTGATTGCATTATTGTGTATACTATATAATAAATATCTTTCTTTTGATACAGATTCGCAGGGCTTTTTTTGTAGAAAAAGCCCAGCAGGAACTCATTCGCAAAATAGGCCACACCCAACAGCAGAACCTCATTAGCATATTAGGCCACACCCCATGGCTGTGGGGAGCCCAGGCAAGCTGGCCCTTGGACAGGCCGAGGAAGGTATTTAAATGCCTCCCCGATCCTTCCAGCCCCCCCCCGGCCCACCCACCTCGGAGTTGCCAGGGGGTCGCTCTCCAGGCCTTCTCTCTGTAGCCACGCATGTGCAGAGGTTTTGGCTATAGTGGGAGTGGCCAACTCTGAAGCCAGCCGGATCTCCGTTCCTGTGCGTTCCTGCCCAAAAATAGCCCTGCAGATTCTATCTGCTATAGCTTGACCTTTGAGGCGTACCTTGCCTCCGTTTCCAGCTACCATAACGGTTTTACAATATCTTGAGCAGGAGAGCAGCCATTGGAGTGCCTTACGTCACCGGTACTGCCGGTACTGCCGTAAGCAAATATGCCTTACGTCACCGGTCACCGGTACTGCCGTAAACAAATATGCCTTGTAAATTACTCACACCTCGTTGAGTATTTAGCTGTTAGAATGGAGGTGCACCTTCCTCTGAGTCTACTTTCCCCCAAAAGAGCAGGTTTCTGGCCCTGACGGTTCTGAAAATACGCTTGAAAGCGTGCAAGCGATGCATGGTGGGGCTGCAGAAACGCAAATATTTGCAGAATAACGTTGCCAGTAGTTGGAAGGGAACAAGAATTCCATGCCCTGCAATCTCACCATGATTAGCAAGCAAGGATCACTTGTGCAGTCAAACTGCCTATTCTTGCCAAAGTTTGTAATTTCTTGATAGGGAGTATGAACCTTACATGCATAAGTGGCATCAAGTCGCAAACAACATACAGCGACTCCAGTAAGGCAAGTGAGAAGCAGAGGTGGTTTGCCATTGCATTCTTATTTATTTATTTATTTATTTATTAGATTTCTACCCCGCCCTCCTGCCGAAGCGGCTCGGGGCGGCTTACAATTTTAAAACCAAGATAAAATACACTCAGTAAAGTTACAAAAATACAATTTACGTAAAACCAATTAAATGTGGTGGCGAGATATTATAAAGTGCAAATGCAACACGACCGATGACGTCATTCTTACTGGAATGCACAGCGGAAAAGCTCTGTTTTCACGGCCCTGCGGAATTGCTGGAGGTCCCGCAGTGCTCTGATCTCACTTTGGAGCTCGTTCCAGAGCGTTGGTGCCACCAGGGAGAAGACCCTGGTCCTTACACATGTAAGGCAATAAACAATTAATAATATAGGACCAAAAATGGAATGTTCCAATATGGAATTGAATGACACACCCAAAGATTTCTGTTTGGGGCCACAAATTTATCTGGACTTGTGTAGGAAGTAGCTGTATATACTGGAAATAATACCAGTACCAATATGTACCTTCCAGTTTAGGTCCTAAGAGTGCAAGTAAAATTGCCTTATCAAGGACAATGTGACATCAATATGTTATTGTAAGCTGAAACGCATCAGGCTATACACTGTCCTTTTTGTGCATTTGTCACTTTTAACATTTTGTGAGGCTTTGCTTGGGACCCTACAAGGTTTTTATGTGTCTTTGAAATTTTTATTTTTTTATTTTTCAGATTTATATCCCTCCCCCTCCGCCGCAGCAGGCTCAGGGTGGCTCACACGAGACAAAATACACAATAACGATCAAATTTATCATAAAACATTTTAAAAGTCCATTAAAACCATATGGTATTAAAGTGCTAGCTGTGTTAATTTGGTGTCATTGCAATGGCATTACCACATGCGTGTGATCCATAAGTTGTCGAAGTAACACACTTTTGTCTATACTTACTTACGTTACTTAAGGTAACAGCATTCCGTGCGCCTTGGTGTTTAGTCATGCCGGCCACATGATCATGGAAATGTCTTCGGACAGCACTGCCTCTTCGGCTTTGAAACGGAGATGAGCACCGCAACCCTAGAGTCGGATTCGACTGGCTTTCGAGCAAGGGAACCTTTACCTTTACCTTTTTACTTACATTTTTAACTTTTGGCTCCCAATAAGTTGTCTAAACTTCCTTTGGAGGTGGATTAGGAGGCCTGAAAAATGAATAAAGAATATGATTATCCAAGATTGGTAGGGTAGAATGCCAATAATTATTCGATATTTAATGTGATTCTCCAGCCTGATCCAACATCCTGAACCCTTTTTTTAAAGAAAAAGCTGGAATCCCCCCATCGTGGGCAGCCCTTTGAGAGAGGGGGCTGCCCTCAGCCCTCCCCCTGCAAAGCAGACTGGGCGTGCATAGCCTCGGATACACCGCACAATATCCCTGTTGAATCCCAGTCTCTGACATTGTTTCTTCCGAGTCAGTTGTCAATATCTTCTTTTTCGTTTGCCATGACCGTTCCCTCTCCCCTGCTCTTCCTCCACAGATCCTCGGTGCCCTCGATCAAGACGACCAGGCTGGCAAGCAAAAACTGGCCTACAAACTTGAACAAGTTATAACCCTCATGAGCATAGACAGCTGAGAACCGCCATTCCAGGGGACTCCCTGGGAGGGGTTGCAAGAAAGAAAGGAAGGAAGGAAGAAAGAAAGAAAAAAAAAACCAAGCCGTGCCTCAGTCCAGAACATCCTCTTTACCAAGTGCAAGTTTCCGATTGGCCGTCGAGCTGAGCCGCCCGAACCGTTCTCGATTCCTCTCCGGCTCGCTCGCCAAACCTGTGGACACCGACAAGCAACAAGGCCTCAAGGATTCGAGGGATGTCTCCTGTGGAGGAATCCCCAGATGTGGAGGAGGAGCTCCCTCGTCCGCCGACTCCCCTTCTGCCTTCATCCCGACATATCATCGTACCGTCCGTTAACCGACAGAGGGAACCGTGTCCGGTTCGCCTCCGTCATGCTGCTTTAATGGCTCTTCTGGGGCTCGGAGCCCCGGAGCAGGAACAAACTCAGTGTTATTTCGGAAGCTGCGCCAAGGGTGGGACTTGCTCTTGGGCCTCCAGGAATCCCGCCGGAGTGGGAATGAACTCGTCTCTTTTTTCCCCCACCCGGTTGTGCTGCCCTTATCCTCTAGGGGAGGGTCCAGTGTCTTGCCCCCTGGGACTGTCACGGCAAGAGGGGGCCTCCTAATCCTGTGAACTCTCCGTGCTGTCAGCTACTCTCCTGGGATTGGGTGGAGGAGGACCAGAGGCTGTCCTTTCCCTTTTCCCGCCCCCCACCTCGACTTTTCATAGGGTTTGGTTTTTTTGTTAACGAGTCAACGCTATTCTCAGTCTGCACCCTTTTATCGTGTCATCGAAAGACAGCCCCCCTTTTCATTGGCGGCCAGCCCTGTTTCTTCCCCCATTCACTCTGAGAAAGCTGTTTCACGATGCAGCTTAACCCTGGGAGGTAGGGTTGCCAGCTCCAAGTGGGGAAATGACCGGAGGTTTGGGGGTGGAGCCTGGGGAGGACAGGGTTTGGAGAGGGGAGGGATTTCAGTAGAGGGCATAAGGCCGTAGAGTCCACCCGCCAAAGAAACCGTCTTCTCCAGGGGAACTGATCTTTGCCGTCTGGTGACGAGTTGTAATCCCAGGAGATCTCCAGTCCCTACCTGGAGACTGGCAACCCTACTGAGAGGGCAGTGCCCCTCAACCGAGACTGTGGCCAGCAGCTCCCTCCTCTTTTCTAAAGTGGCCCAAACTGCCTCTTACAGGCTCTAACCAGCATCAACTGCAGAGCACAAAAATCGAGGGGGCCTTTTGTTCTAGTCATACTACGGGCAGAAGCCCGAACCAACATTCCGGAGGTTAGAAGCACCTCTCTGAGACTGGATGGGGGCTAAGAAAAGGGCATCCTCCCAGCCCCACGCATTCCTTCCTTGGTTGCAACACCTCACCTGAATGGATGTTAGATTATACAGGGCTATTTTTGGGCAGGAACGCACAGGAACGGAGTTCCAGCTGGCTCCCAAGTTGGCCACACCCAGCAGGAACTCATTAGCATAACAGGCCACACCCAACAGCAGAAACCCATTAGGACTGGCTACATTAGGGGTGTGTGGCCTAACATGCAAAGGAGTTCCTGCTACAAAAAAGCCCTGGGTTTTGACAACAAACAAGGTAAACAGAATAACAAGCAAAAGGTGGGTGTGGCTGGATGACCACACTTCTGGTAACATGGGGGTGCGGCCTAATGTGTTAATGAGCTGTGCTGTCAGGGGTGTGGCCTAATATGCTAATGAGTTCCTGCTGTTGGGTGTGGCCTATTATGCTAATGAGTTCCTGCTGGGCTTTTTCTACAAAAAGAGCCCTGTGTTAGAATATGGTAGGGAGGGAAACGGGAGTTTACGATATGGTAATAGCTTGTGGTGTGCCTTCCCCCACCCCCAAAATGGCAATTGGGATCAGAACGGTTTGCATTGACTTGAATGGGAGATTGTGCTACAGACGTTTGAATCTTTTCTGTTTTAAAAAAATTCTCAAGTCCAATTTTGGTGCCCCCTGAAATACAATATCGCATGCAGCTGAATAGCTGCAAATCCCAACACAAAGTTAAGGGTCCGTAAGACCACGGAAACCATAATATCTGGCAAATATTCAGATTGCTGGATATGTGTTCTCTCAGTCGTCCTTATATATCTCGGCAGGTTATGGAAAGTTACGTTTTCTTCCCCGTCTGGCACATAGGGAGCTGACTCAGTTCACGCAGCAATCAGGATTTCAACTGGGAACTACCTAGTTCAACCTAGCTCACCAGGAACGCGTGGGCACTCAATGACATTAATGAGCAGTAGGCTTAGAACAGATCAAAGGAAGTACTTATTCACCCAAAGAGTCATTAACACATGGGATTCACTGCCACAGGAAATGGTGACGGCTACAAGTATAGACAGCTGCAAGAGGAGATTGGAGAAACACATGGAGCCAAGGGTCGTGAGTGGCTCTTAGCCACAAGGTATAGATAGGAACTCTCAGTCTGGGACAAGTGATGCTCTGTATTCCTGGTGCTCGGGGGACAACAGCAGGAGGGCTTCTGAAGTTCTGGCCCTGATGGTGGACCTCCTAATGGCACCTGGGTTTTGGCCACTGTATGATAGAGTGTTGGACCGAATGGGCCACTGGCCTGATCCAGCATGGCTTCTCGTGTTCTTATGGCCCTGCTGGTGGACCCCCTGATGGCACCTGGTTTGTGGCCACTGTGTGACACAGAATGTTGGACTGGATGGGCCATTGGCCTGATCCAACATGGCTTCTCTTATGTTCTTATCGCCCTGCTGGTGGACCTCCTGATGGCACCTGGGTTTTGGCCACTGTGTGACACAGAGTGGTGGACCTCCTGATGGCACCTGGGTTTGGGCCACTGTGTGACAGAGTAAGGGACTGGATGAGTGATTGGCCTGATCCAACATGGCTTCTCTTATGTTCTTATCGCCCTGCTGTTGAACCTCCTGATGGCACCTGGGTTTTGGCCGCTGTGTGACGTAGAGTGGTGGACCTCCTGATGGCACCTGGCTTGGGCCACAGTGTGACAGAGTAATGGACTGGATGAGTCATTCGCCTGATCCAACATAGCTTCTCTTATGTTCTTATATTCTACTTCACAGTTTAGTCCCTTTAGCCTCTACAGCACCCTAGATACCAAAAGATGCCAGTTTTTTCAATGCCGTGTGTTACAACCAATGTTTAGTGTTGCTGTTGTTTAGCATAGCTTTGGATAGCGGGTAACCAAGAAGGTTGACAAAAGCCCTAATAACAGAATAAATAATAATGGGTTGCGTATGTTAAATGAACGAAGCTTTAATGCATAGCAAATAGTAAGAAATGCCATTAAAACCGAAAGACGTTTCAGCCACAAGGCCTTCCTCAGTGGTTGTTGTTGTTGTTCAGTCGCACAGTTGAGTCCGACTCTTCGCGACCCCATGGACCAGATCACGCCAGGCCTTCCAGTCTTCCACCGTCCTGTGGACCTCCTGATGGCACCTGGGTTTTGGCCACTGTGTGACGCAGAGTGGTGGACCTCCTGATGGCACCTGGGTTTGGGCCACAGTGTGACAGAGTAATGGACTGGATGAGTCATTCGCCTGATCCAACATAGCTTCTCTTATGTTCTTATATTCTACTTCACAGTTTAGTCCCTTTAGCCTCTACAGCACCCTAGATACCAAAAGATGCCAGTTTTTTCAATGCCGTGTGTTACAACCAATGTTTAGTGTTGCTGTTGTTTAGCATAGCTTTGGATAGCGGGTAACCAAGAAGGTTGACAAAAGCCCTAATAACAGAAGAAATAATAATGGGTTGCGTATGTTAAATGAATGAAGCTTTAATGCATAACAAATAGTAAGATATGCTATTAAAACCAAAAGACGTTTCAGCCACAAGGCCTTCCTCAGTGGTACACATTGTTAAAATACACACCGTAGAGTAAAATAATTCAAACTATAAAATACACTCAGCTTTAAATCACTCACAAGAAGTAGGGCCAGTTCATTAAATGGATACGTCCCACTTCATAAGTGGAATCAATGAGGACCATCAGAGATAATTTTTTTAGGCTGAGGTTGTTCATGGTTGTCGCTGGCAGCAGCTAGAAAGGTTCTCCAATGGCTGCCACCACTCTGACATGGGTCTCCTCAGGCAGAGCACCCACCCGACCCCTTATCAGCGTTTCCTCTTACAAGTGATCGAATGAGGCATGAGGACCCAGGCAGAGGAACAAACCAGTTTTAGTAAAGAAATTTAATAACAACGGTAGTTCAAAACCACGTAGGAAAAATGAACACAGTAAAGGTAGGTAAACTGGCAAAATTAGAAATCCTAACGCGTTTGGCTATACTGTCCCTAGCCTTCTCTAGGTCTTTGCCTCAAACTGACTCACCCCTTTTGGATGAGGGATCCGTCCGCCTGCTGCAGCTTCACACCAGCCCTGCTCCCTGTGAGTGCCCCCTCCCACTAGGGTTGCCAAGTCCGAAGCGGCGCTGGAGCGGGGGACTCCAGCGCTGCTCCAGGAGTTTTCACTCGGATTACCGTGGCAACGCCCCCAACGCCCCCAACGCGATCGCGTCACCTCCAGGCGACGTGCATGTCACGTGATTTGGGGGTGGGGTTCCCCCCGGGGCCCGATTCGCCACCGGCGGGTAATGGGCCTCTGGGGTGGGGGTTTCCCTGCCCCCCGGGGGGACTTGGCAAGCCTTCCTCCTACTTAGGGCAAAGCCTTTTATTCCTTCTTCCCAGGCCCCGCCCGCTACTATTCTACTGGTCAAAGTTTCCCCTCCAAATCCCCTTTTAACCAATCACAGGGTCCAGAGGGGACATGGGAAATGTAGGCCCTGATAGCTACTCCAATACAGGCTTCCCTGGAGCCACTAGGCCTCCCTAGAGCCACACTGCTCTAGGCCCAGCATCACGACAATGGTGCAAAACAGGAATGTGGATGTACACACCTCAGAGCTACAGTTCACTCTGACCTCGCTTGCAGAGAAACGTGTTTGGTTTTAATGGATTTCTTTTTGTACTCTTTGTTATACATTCAAGCTTTGTTAACATGTGTAACCCATGATTATTTGTAGAAAAGTGCAAGAGTCCAGTAGCACTCGAAAAAATAACAAGATTTTGGCAGGGGAGGAGCTTTCGTGAGACACGGCTCACTTCTTCACTCCGAAGGTGCTCCTAACGCTCCTAACGCTTGCTTTTTTTCTGCTGCTCCAAACAGTCTAAACACGGCTACCCATCTTGATCTATCTCCATTATTCTTTTGTTCTGTCATCAGGCCTTTTGTCTGGGTTGCAGTTTTTCCTTCGCCTTTCGGTTTTGGCTTTGGATAGCAGAATGTGCAACTTGAACATTTGTACACTGG